TGAATTCACCACGATGCGATACAGAAAGAACAAGGACCAGGGATGTAATTTTAAGTAAATCTATTATTCAGTGGCAAGGCGCAGAGCGTTCGGGGCAGCAATATTAATTTGTATCAAATATAACATTAAACGGTGGTTCTAATACATTTTTTGATATTATTAACCAGAGTACATACATTATATATGGTATTTCTTTCAAAATTAATGTACTATATGAACTTTTTTTTCAAATATTTCTTAAGTTTCTTTCATGAGTGCTGAAAAGCAACCATGCGTGTAAGAAATTGTGTGCTACCTAAAATTTCACCTCTGGAAACTTTATCCCCATAAAGGACTTCCCCAGAGTTTTTTTACTGGATATACTGAGGCCGCCATTTAATTTGCATATGCAACCAAAGGCAGACGCGTGGTTTTGAAGGTGTTTTTATTTAATAAATTGTGATTGATAGGTTAAAATTAAAGTAATAAAGAAAGTTGTACCAAGTCGAATAAAGTTTAAGGTGAAGGGGAATATAAAAATGCATTGGTGAAGTGGCTGCTTTAAGGAAAATAGGAGTGATAAATGTACGCTAATTTCCGAATTTTACAAAAGGGAATGTGGCAACCGGCCTAAGCTCAACCAGGGTGACGGCAACCCTAAACACGCACGAAAGAACGAAACAAAAGGAATCATAAAAACGAAAAATGAAAGTGCACTTAACGACTCGAAAAATATAGACATTTTGTCAGAGCGAATCAATCCACACACCGGTGAAGACGAACAATGGTTAAATACGTTTATCACATATTCTCATAGTTCCAGTGTAATAAGTTAATTTTATTTAAGTTTTCGATAAATAAAACGTTTTGACACAGTATACCCACAATTGGTGACCCCGAGATAAAAACGGAGATATTGTGCCAAATATCGCGACAAACCACCCGGGTAAAACGCAAAGCACCTGTTGCTCTAAAAACTAGCCAACACGGACGTAGTTGCGAATAAATCCCCGTAATTGCAGTAAATGCGCATATAAAACAATTAAAATCGACATATATATATTTGCGTAAAAAAGAGTACTGTACAAGATAACGCCACCAAAAACCCAGCGTCCGTTATAACAGTAGCCGACCATAGCGGAACACGAAGTAATGGGCATACGAGCATCGGCAACATGAGTTTGGACGATAGTCAGAAGAGTGTCGAGAATCCCGCAAACGACGTTAGCAGCGCTGGAGACAACGCCAACCGATCTGGGCGGGGTTGTTGTAGCCGCTACAACAACAACAACAACAACGCCAACGCAAATACCAACGCAGGCGTCGACAGCGGCATACCGCAAATCAACGCGGTGTTTGGAAAGTTACCGTTCCCTAAACTAAATTCCAAGTACAACATCGAATCATGGTTCGAATTGCACGGCTTCGGTATTCGTAAGGAGAAAGACAAATATACCGCCATCATCGCACATGCCGACGACTATATTCTCGACCAAGTCTGTGAGCTAGTTCGCAATCCACCAACCACGACCCCTTACACTACGCTAAAAATGGCCATAATCGAAAAATTCAGCGATTCTGCTATGGCCCGACTAGATAGACTCACCGGTATACAGTTAGGCGATGGTAAGCCCAGCCACTTGCTGAGTCAGATGCAACGCACAAACGCCACCAAGGATGAATCCGTAATACAGCAATACTGGCTAAAGCAACTACCCGAAGCTGCTCGTGCCGTTATAGCCGGTATGCTGCAGGCTCAACCGAGTACGCCCTTACACCAACTCGCCATTACTGCCGACGCCGTACTCGACGCACTTAGCCGCGACTCCAACTCAACGGCAACAACCAGAGGGCCAGACGTCAACGCCATCGAAACACCTACCAGCCGATTTTCCCTGCTCGAAAAAAGAATCGAAAAGCAGGACTCCGTTCTCGAGAACATAAATGCCAAGTTGAACCAGCTAATGTCTCAAAACCGCAGCCGACAGCGAGATCGTTCACAATGTAACCCAAAACGCCAAAGCACACCACACCGCAGCTCCAAGGCAGATCAATCACTGACATGCTGGTACCACCGCGAATACGGCACACAGGCTCGTAAATGCAGAAGTCCATTTGACTTTCCCGTCAAAAAAGCAGACAAGCCAAAAAACTAAAGGCCGCCGTAACGAAAACGCTCGACAGTTCCGGCAGCAAAACACAAACGAGCAGACAATCACAATGCGAACTGGAGGTAAAAATTTCCGAATTCACGAAATCTAAACGTTTTTTCATCCTAGATAAAATTTCGAAACAACTATTTTTGATCGACACTGGCGCGGAGGTATCCGTAATTCCACCAACACGTGCATGTCGTTTGTCAAATAGCGAAGGCAAACCACTTTTCGCAGCGAACGGCACCGTCATCAAAACCTACGGTTTAACACGCCGCACACTCGACCTAGCTCTCCAACGCAAACTCACGTGGGACTTCGTCATAGCCGAAACGCGATACGCAATTATTGGTGTCGACTCCCTTCGCCATTTCAACTTAATAATCGACATCGGGAACACGACTCTTATAGACGGAACACTATCGCGACCAGGCATCTGTAGTTTTGAAAAATCAACGACAATTAAAACCAAATACGACTCCAGCGACATAGGAAAATTGCTGCGCGAATTCAGTAAAATAACGGACCCTAACGCAATAGCCCCGTCACCAATGCAGACTGGGGTGACGCACTGCATCGAAACAAAAGGCCCACCTGTGTTCGCTCGACCTAGACGTCTCGCACCAGAAAAACTCAAAGCTGTCAGAGAGGAATTCGAATACCTCACTAGGCTCGGAATTTGTCGTCCTTCGAAAAGCTCGTATGCTTCTCCATTACATCTGGTAAAAAAAGCTAACGGTGAGTGGCGCCCATGCGGGGATTATCGAGCTCATAACGCTCAGACGGCACCGGACCGATACCCACTTCCACATATCCAGGATTTCACACACTTCCTATACCAGAAGGATGTATTCAGCAAAATTGACCTCAACCGAGCTTACCACCAAATTCCGATCGAGCCCAGCGACATCCACAAGACGGCAATAACCACGCCGTTTGGGTTATTCGAATTCACTCACATGACGTTTGGTTTATTCAATGCTGCACAAACGTTTCAAAGGTTTATGCATGCAGTTTTCCGAGGTCTGGATTTCGTGTTTGTGTATATCGACGACGTGTGCGTCGCTTCCGAAGGCATCGAACAGCACAAGCAACACTTGCGACAGGTCTTCGAACGTCTTCAGCAGTTCCACCTCACCATCAACGCAGCAAAATGCGAATTTGCTCTACCACAGATCGAGTTCCTTGGGCACATGGTCACGAAGCAAGGTATCGAGCCGCTACCCAGGAAAGTGCAGGCGATCAGCAACTTTCCCTTGCCTGGAGTCGCCAAAGAATTGCGTCGATTTCTAGCAATGATAAACTTTTATCGTCGTTTTTTACCAAATGCAGTTTATTACCAAATACCACTCGTTAAACTAATTCCTGGCAACAAAAAAAAAACGACACATCTCCAATCAAGTGGACCGAAGATACAATTAAACACTTCAATCAATGCAAACAAGCATTGGCGAATGCAACACTGCTAGTCCACCCGGCACCAAACGCTCAAATATCGCTCAGCACGGACGCAAGTGATACGGCTATCGGCGCAGCTCTCCATCAGATCATTGGTAACGAGTTTCAACCTCTAGCATTCTTCAGCCTCAAGCTCAACGAAGCACAGCGGAGGTATAGTACCTATGACCGCGAACTGCTCGCGGTATACCAGGCCATTAAACATTTTTGCGGTATGCTGGAAGGAAGAACTTTCGAGGTGCGCACAGACCACAAGCCTCTGGTGTACGCGTTCAAGCAAAAATACGACAAAGCATCGCCACGCCAATTGCGACAGCTAGACTTTATTAGTCAGTTTACGACGAACATTATTCACGTCGCAGGCGTCGAGAACACCACAGCTGATACCCTGTCACGCATCGAAACGCTCTAATCGAAAAACGTCGACTTTAAACGAATTGCCGAAGGTCAAATGAAATGCCCTGACCTAAAAAAACTCATCGAAGGCGACACGTCCTTGCAGCTGAAAAGAATTCGTATACCAAATACGAATCACATAATCTACTGTGATACATCAACTTCAGAAGTTCGACCGTTTATACCGCAAGCGCATCGCAGATTGATTATCGAGAAAATGCATTGCATCGCACATGGTGGTGTGCGCGCAACCACCAAACTCGTCAAAGAACGCTTCGTATGGCCAAATATGGGTAAAGACATCGCCAAGGAGGTACAACACTGCCTAAGCTGCCAAAAAGCTAAGGTCAGCAGACACGTTCGCGCGCCAGCACAACAATTTTCACTGCCCGCATGCAGATTTGAACACATCAATATCGACCTCATTGGACCCCTTCCGCCGTCGGATGAGTACCAGTACTGCCTTACAATTATCGACCGGTACACGCGTTGGCCTGAAGCCGTACCGGTGAGGGACATATCAGCAGAAACAGTCGCCAGGAAACTCGTAACAGTTTGGTTTGCAAGGTTCGGGATACCAGCACGCATCACTACCGATCAGGGAAGACAGTTCGAATCTCAACTGTTCAATGAGCTGTCACGTATGCTGGGCATAACCCACCTGCGCACAACAGCATACCATCCACAGGCGAATGGTATTATCGAGCGTTGGCACCGCTCTCTGAAAACAGCGATTACTTGCCATGAACGCCAAGACTGGACGTCTACCACTGATCCTGCTAGGCCTACGCACAGCTTTTAAACCCGATATTGGGACAACTGCTGCACAACTGGTTTACGGTACTACATTGCGGTTACCGGGGCAGTTTTTTTTTAGCGAAACTCAGGTAATTCGCCCACAATCAGAATTTGCCAAACAACTCGCCGACACAATGCAGAAAGTGCGTCCTACTCAAACCGCAAATCACGATGCATCTAAAACATTCGTATTCAAAAGACTCGCGGACGCCACGCATGTGTTTGTACGGCACGACAAGATGAGGCCAGCATTTCAACCAACATATGATGGTCCATACCCCGTAGTCTCAAGACATCCAAAGCACTTTACGGTACAAATCAACAGTAGCAACGTAAATATCTCCATAGATCGACTAAAGCCAGCATTCATCGAATTCAGTCCACCAGACACACAATCATCAACAACGTCGACTCAACAAAAGTGTAGTCATCCATACGCAATACCACCGATAGTAGATCAAACTCATTCGGGTGAAGCATCAACGACAACTTTGCCTCAACAAGATTCAGCATCATCGTCGGCGAAAGCATCGCCATTTAAGCAAACTACTTCGCCGGAGCTACAAACAAACCGTTCTGGACGTAGGAAAAGACTCCCCGTCCGTTTCAGGACGTGAAAGTCTAGGGGGAGCAATTTGGCAACCGGCCTAAGCTCAACCAGGGTGACGGCAACCCTAAACACGCACGAAAGAACGAAACAAAAGGAATCATAAAAACGAAAAATGAAGGTGCACTTAACGACTCGGAAAAATATAGACATTTTGTCAGAGCGAATCAATCCACACACCGGTGAAGACGAACAATGGTTAAATACGTTTATCACATATTCTCATAGTTCCAGTGTAATAAGTTAATTTTATTTAAGTTTTCGATAAATAAAACATTTTGACACAGTATACCCACAGGGCATATTTCAAACCCAATTTGTAAATAAATTAGTGACCAAAAATTACAATAGTGGATGTTAAAATAATGGGTAGACCCTTGGCTACAAGTGTATGCAATTTTTTTTTTGGATCGGGTCACCCCTTTGGACGCAATACCCCGAAATAGGTGGGCCACTTAATAAACAGTACCCAAATCCATCTCCAAATATACAAAAAAAATGTAAACCGAAATCTTTGTTTTAAATTAAAGCTTAATCCTCTGACTAGCGGCATATGTCAACATTTTTTGATTCGGGTCACGCGTTTGGACCCAAAATCATTTCACAAATAACCGAACCGTCCTCGAATTGTCTTTTACTATGCATTTTTCTATAAATAAAAATTTTAGAATATGAAACTGCAGTACTTTTCATTTTATGTGCATGCATATATACATATTTTTAAGCAGCACCACATCTTTATCAGAAAATTCCGAGAATCCAAAAAGTTACAAGTTGCATGGCATCATTTTAACTCAACCTCCTTTCTCTTCCACGGATAACGGTACCTCGTTTAGAGGTTTAAAATATTTTGCATCAGAAATTTGTCATCAAACTGCATTAGCAAAAGACTTTCCCTCTTATTCTAGAACCCAAAATTTTGTAATTCGTAATTCTTAGCTACGCTACGAAAAACGAAAAATCCACATGCTGCAACCATTGCGGAAACATGTGCAGCACTGCCAGCTATCAGTTGTTTTTCGAAGATAGCTAAATGAAGGAAAACAAAGTGGAAAGGAATTAAAAAAACACTCATGAAGTGCTTATTTATAGTAAAATTGTTTGATTTTACATATTTTGAAGGAAACGGTGGGCTCTATTGCATTTGCAATTATAGCACGGAGTAAGAGCGCGCTATGGGAATGATTTCACAAAAATTGCCGAGCTGTCAAGCATAGTAACCATGGGCGCATCTATCTATCTATCTGTTTAAATGAACACCGCTAATATTTCCTGCAAACACACCTCCGACACAGAATTGTTTTCGTACAAAATTACGGAAAAAAACGTACTTGTTCGTTTTTAGGCATGCCATTGTAACGAATTTCGAAAGTTCGAAAATACGATTCGGATTGCAGCATACTCCTACGATTCGTAGCAAAATCCGAATACGAAAGAGTTGCAGAATAGGGGTGTTTATTTTCGAACCTTTCACCGTACTTCAAACGTTTTTTTTATCCTTTTTCAAGAAACAAAAATGTTGCTGCTAGTGAATCTGGTAACATGATTTTAGTTAAATGTCACAAACTTGTTAAAAGTCAAGTGGTCGGCAACAACAACGAATGTCAATAAATGAAACTACCTTCTATTTTTGTATCATGGTATAAACGTTCGTGGTATTCAATCGAAACCGAAACCCACCACACAAGCGGCTTGACAAATAGGCATACCTCAAACTTTTTACGCTGATTTTAACTATATAAATATTATTGGCATACATCAAGATAAGCTATAGAAAAAATAAAAATACAGATTGCTAGTACTTTTTACGCTGATTTTAACTATATAAACATTATTTGCCGCAATTGAAAAGTAAAGTAGATATAAACGGTAAGACAAAAAAATTGTGTATTTTAAAATATTAATATTTTCTAATGATGTCAAAATAAAGACAATTAATTTATCTTGAAGCTGATATATAAAATGTGGGAACAAATGCAGTTGGGCTCCAAATCTCAAAAAACAAAAAAAAAATATTGGAATCGATAGAGATGTTTGAGCTGAGTATAACGGTATACTTCTTTTTTTGGGCAAACAACAACAACAAAAATTATCAAAGGTTAAAGTTCAAAATAAGCAATTTTTGAAATCAAGATTTCTTAAAAACGGATGGATGTACTTTCTCTCATTTAATAGGAAATTTGATTCCCTTTAATTTGGTATACGTACTTTATATATGTGTTGTATAGTTCTTACAAAAATTGAACTAATGTAAAATAATTATAAAAAAACACCTTTTGCAGAGAACACCTTTCTGCGTAGGC